GAAGCTCCTAAACCAGAAGAACCAAAGGCAGAAGCTCCTAAATAGGAAGAACCAAAGGCAGAAGCTCCTAAGTGAAGATGATGAACTTTCACATCTGTTAAAGAAACTGAAATCTGTGAAAGTTTTTGCTTTAGCAAAACCTGATTTCAGCTTGTTGGTTTATGGGATTCTTGAGTGTGTTTAACTGGATGTGAGTATCCTGAGGGCTACAAAAGAAGAGTCAGGGAGGTTTGTTGAGAGTTTTCAGGTGGTGCTTTACCCTGCCAAACCACCATTTTAACTGTGATGCCGATGGCGAGTTTGGGATTCAAACCGACTCCCTTTCAGCAGCTATTGTCCTGACGGTTGCAGATGCAGGTTGAGGTTTTCATCTGCGGCTGTACGTTATCAATGTCGCTAAATGAAGTTTTGAAGAGCAACTTGCTAATGCACAAAATGCACAAATATGTTTTTATGTTTGGTCCTGACTTGCACAGAGAATACTCAATCAACAACATTGATTTCGCTTTGATTTGTCCAAAAACCAGTAGTTTCCTTCATTATGGGACAATGTCTGGCCTAAAAGTTAAGCATCCTGTATCACGTTTAGAGTTTCAGAGCTCTGAATGGACACGCTGTGGAATGAGATAAATATGTTTGCATTCCTCTCTTGCATGATTTGCAGCAGCAGCACTTTTTTACTTTAACCAATTTTTACAATTTTGTGTGGAAAAAGACTCAAACATTGCATCAAATATCCTCTTAACCCGATTAAGAAAACCTTGCTAACACAGAGCGTTGATAATCATCTTTGATTGGGATTTTAAGTGTTGTTGAGCCGGCGACAGAGAAAACTTACTCAAACTTGCTTTATAGTATTGAGAAATCTTGCTCTGCATATCTCATATTGCTTGATGGATCAGTAATCGGTGACTGATTAATGGATGCAAACACTCCCTTAACTGTTGACCTTTAAATTATTTTCATAGTCTCCTGTGACCTGTTTACCTACTAGACCGGAACAGGTCCAGTCCCATCTGAATAACTCTTTAACTCTTTCTTCACCACTGCAGAGACGTTTTCACTGCCGCCAGTGTTTGCGTTTCTGTCAGCTGAAACCAGGAAGTGTCAGAAACCTGCAACCGTGTCCAAGTTTGTTTGAGAGCTTCTGTTACTATTTCCTTGCCAGACTGAGAATGTGTCTGTCATTTAATTCCTTTTTGCCAAAAGGAGCTTTTCAAGTGTCAGGTCATGTGTCCACAGTTCAGCTGCAGATATCCACAGTTTAATCCTGACTAGTTTTAACTCTAGTTCAAGATCTCTTTAATCCTCCTCAGTTCAACATATCTGCATTGCCCTTTTATAGATTCTTAAGTTTGAACCAGTCAGAATGATGTTGTAAAATCTCAAACTGCAAGTCGGTCCGGATGAATGTAATTACAGATATCTTGAATTAGAGTTTTGACTCAATGCGGATATCTGTAGTTGTGTCAGAAGCTACTGCTAGCAAGCTCTGGTGAATTTGGAAGTTTCCTCTTAACAAAGCTCCGGTTCTCCACAAAAATCCTCCTGGTGAGCTCTTTCTGATCCACCACAGCATCCGCTATCACCTCTGCCGGACCGACATCCAACGAGAAGCCTCGTATGAGCAGCATCATCACGTCATACTGACATTAAAGGTCGCTGTAATTCAGTTTGGGCTACGATAACAGCAGCAGGTATCACAAACTGACACTGTTTATGGTAAAACTCTGCTAAAAAATGGCTAAAAGCTAGCATATCTGGGTTTTACAAAACTGTGATAATGAGATCATGTGACGTTTACTCGCACAAACACAAGAACACGATGCCTCGTGATGCTCCAGTCCACGTAAACACACTCAACTGGTTTCTAATGCACTTAAGGTTGACGGTCTATTTCGATGTGTTATTTATTTTTGTGCAGAAGATTTGGGCGTTTCGGTGTTGGTCGTGTGCTGTTGTTTTTTTAAATGTTGGTGTAAAATGCTTTTGTAATAAACTGACCGTGTTTTGCTCGCACAGTCGACGTGAGACATGTTGGATGTTACTGACTAAACAGGAGTCCTAGTCATTATTGTCATTATTTGAGTCAGTTACTCAGCAGCAGTGTTTGCCTGCTGCGGTTCGGCTGATTTATGTCACCAGCTGATGGCCGGCTTTGTTTTAAAAGAGGGGTTGTGTGTTTGCACAATGTGGTCAATAAAAAAAATAAAACTAGTTATGAATGACATTTTAATATGTTTCATGAAGTTATTTGTGTCACGTGCAGCTCTTCATTTTATCCAGTGGTAGAAGAAGCATCCTTTATTTACATGCACATAGAAAAACCACAATACAAAATATATTTAATTACAAATTCAGATTATTCTTTTAACTTTTTATGAATTAATGTATAAACTAGAGGTTGATCAATTCAATATTGGGCATTTTTCCAAATATAAAGGCCTTGAATCCATTATTAAGTCATGTTGTATGACACATACAATTGAGGAAGTAGTATTGCAAATAATACCGATGTCATTGAGTCAGGTTTTACGTCTGTTCTTTCTGCATAAGGGGGAGGACTTGTACAGTTTAAAATGCATCACGATGGCATGTTGTAATATTAGAATAATTCAGGTGTGAACATCTGAACCAGGAAGACATTCCGAAGAACAATGATGCAGAAAGTTCCACAGGATTGGTTACTTAGATGAGTTATGTTTTAAACTCCAAAAGTCTGATATCCATTTTTTTAAGACTGTCATTGAAAAAGGAAAGAAAAGGAAAAAAATCATCATAAAATGCAGATTTTAAATTGTATATTACTGTTTTTTTTTTTGTTGACTTAAATATAGCAAATATATATATATATAATTTTATGGTCAAACGTCATAAAAGAACAAATTATCTGGAAAAAAAATATAGAATTTTGATGTGGACATTATTTTTTTTTTTTTTTTTAAGTTTTGACCAAAAATATAAAACATCCAAAAATAATATATCTTCAATGTAAAGAAATAAAAGAACAAAACAACTGAGACAGTAACAGTAAAATATGTTAAAAAGAGCAAAGTAAAATGTACAACAGCAAAATAAAATAACCACAATAAACCGGTTAGGAGACGGTCTTATGATGAGAGACGGTTTTTAGTTTTAGGAAGAAAAAAAACAAATGTAAGTCGACAGTTTTGAGGTGAAAATGTTCAGACAAAGTGTTGACTGGTTATTTCGCTTGTGATGCATCGTCTAGTAAATAGAAAACACTATATGGACACGTTAACGAGGTAACATCAGCTGAAAGCATCTTTAAAATACAGTAAAATTCCTACAGCAGTTTAAATCAGGAAAGAGAAGCAGCTCTGCATTATGGATACGACCTGCACCTCAGGCTTTCATTCCCTGCAATAGTTTGTGATGTACGCTGTCCTTTTCATATAACATGTGAACAGAGAACTTATCAGCAGCAATCTAAGGTCCCTGAACAGCTTCATGAACTATGTAGTGAGATTGTTATCTCAGCTGCTGCTGACTACGCCCACAAAAAAAATGTAAAAACTCGATTCTGCAAACCGGTTAAATCTATTTAAAGGTCACTGTCACATTTCTACCATTGTGTCATTCCTATTCATAACACTGGCAGCCTACAGAATGACATTAAATGAATAAACGCCTCCCTAAGCCGCAGTCATTATGTCAGATTAATGATTGGAGATTTTGTTGCAGGTTCATCAAGGACATTATCAGAAACGTCTGGAAGGGCTGCCTAAAAAAAAACCAAAAGCAAAATGCAACCAAACTGGAATCTTGCCCTGAATGTTATCGGAGTGATCGGCTCACAGAGTACACAGCTGACAGGGAGTGGGGCTGGTTGTGAAATACCAGCTCACCTGCATCCTGGTTGATCAGGTAATGATTAATGCATACAAACACCAGCCGAGGCCACAGACAATGTCTTCCCTTTGACAAGTTATGGTTGGAGGGCTATTTTTGGTTTCAGATTTGACTACATGTAAATAAAAAAAAAAGCAGAAAATGCAAATTACTATGAAAATAAGGCAACATGGCAGCAGACAAACCTCCAGTGTTTCTTTTGTTTTTTTGTTTTTTTTTCTGCAGCCCTTTGCTCTTTTAGGCCTTTCTTCTTCTTCTTCTTTTGTTAGATAACTCGTCCACCTCCGAGATTAAATAATCGCTTTAACCTCGTGTGCCTCCCTCTTCTCTCTCAGTGACCCTGCCTCTGGGTCTGCGAGGGAGGAACTGACCAATCCCAGCGGCCAAAGCCTCGCTCTGTCACTCCCTGTAAATTCACTTTTGTTATCCTGGCCGAGCTCCGGTTGGGCAGTTTGTGACTCCGGCTCACAACAGGGCTCCGTTGTGTCCGTTGTGGGTCTGGAATCACACGTTCCAGAGAATGAAGAAGACATTTTATTCACAAAAACATTAATTTAAAGAACAACGCTCTGCAAAGCATTACTTGGATAACAATCAGCATGTTTTCATCCATTAAGAACATTTTTAATAAAACATCTTAACGTGTCTGTAAGTATCTACATGATTACATGTGATGATATTATTATTTAGACAGCAAAGTGAAAAAGAGAATCGATGTGGTTCATGAATTTTAATATTTTGATGCTGTTTATGTTGACATTTGCGTTCTCTTTTGACAGTTTACAATTTCATTTCTGCTTTTATCCAAAGCGACGTACATCTGAGAGCAGATACGACACAAGCCAGGATCTAGTCAGAACCAACAACCTGGATAAGTGCCATAGAACAAGTGTGATAAGGTGTTGGTGCCAATAGCAGGCTGCATGGGAGGTAATTTTCAGTCTATCAAGTGCAAAGGTGTTGAGTGAAGAGTCATAAGTAAAATAGAGTGTTTAAACATATCCCTGGGGTTAGTTGTACCAAACCTCTAAATCTAACCTAGCCATTTACCAAGTGCTCGATGCATTAAGAGGAAAGCTGCCACTAACAGGCGTGTCTGGTCGGTGATTTGACTACTGAGGCTACTTAGTTGGGTTACCTATTAGAAGAAGTGGGGTAGACGTCTGGATTAAGGCAGTTTGAAGCTAGGCGAGTTTCCCCGACACCAGCTTAAGCAGTTCTATAGAATCTTATTAGGTCATGGGCCAGGAGGTGCTCAGAACTTAGCCCTAGTAACGGAGAGCTGGACCAGTAGCCCTGCACGGGGTAGTACCGGTGCAGAATAACAGTCTTTAGTCTTTTCTTAAAGACTGAGAAGGAATCAGCAGATTGAACAGAGTTTGGTAACTGGTTCCACCACCGCAGAACCACAGAGGACAAGAGTCCAGCTATGGACCTCGGCCCTGCTGTGGTGGTTGGATCAGGAGGTTTTAGTGAGCAGAGGGAATGTCGACCTGAATGAGAGAGTTCAGGCAGGAGGGAGCTGTTCTCAGAGTCAGAATCAGGGTTTTGAATGTGATGCAGGCAGCAACAGTGAAGTGATCTGAACAGCGGGGTGACATGTGCTGTTTTTGGCTGGTTGAAAACCAGACGTGCTGCTGGTTCTGGATCATCTGCAGAGGTTTGACCGGGGATGCGGGGAGGCCAGTGAGGAACTGTAGTAGTCCCTGTGTGATGTTATGGGAGCTTGTACCAGGAGTTGTGCTGCATGTTCAGACAGAAAAGATCTTCCTGATGTTGTCCAGGACAAACCGACACGACCGAGCAGCAGAACAGAGCAACAGAGGCCACATGTGGTACTGTGTTGTAGTTTTGTGTTTTTATTTGTAAACTGTGGTATCCCCTGAAAACAAACAACAACAAAAAGAAAACAGCAACAAAACAAAAAGCAAAAGACAAAAACAAAAAAAGAAAAGAGCAATGCAAAACAAAACAAAACACAACAAGAACCAAATAGAAACAACAACACAACAAACACAAAAAGAAAATTAACAACAACAAAACAAAAAAGATAAAGACAAAACAAAAACAAGACAAGTAAAAGAGCAAGAACAGTGCAACACAAAACAAAACACAAAAAGAACCAAATAGAAACAACAACAACACAGGCACAAAAAGAAAACAACAACAACAAAACAAAAAAGACAGATAAAGACAAAACAAAAACAACAAACCCAAAACAAAAACAGCTCAAAACCAAACACAACAAGAAAAAAACAAACAGAAAAAGAAAACAACAACAGCAAAACAAAAAAGATAAAGATAAAACAAACACAAAAAGAAAACAACAACAAAACAAAAAAAAGACAAAGATAAAGACAAAAAAAAACAAGACAAGTAAAAGAACAAGAACAATGCAAAACAAAACAAAAATAGCACAAAACAAAACAAAAATAACACAAAACAAAACACAACAAGCACAAACACAAACAAAGCAAAAACAACACTAAAAACAGAAACAAATACAAACATCCACCCTTACCCCTTCGACAATCCTGTCCTCTTTGTAGGGCATTAACAACAATCTAATTAACTAATTTGAAAGGAAACAGAAAATAAATAAATAAATAAACAAAACTGTACCAAACAAAGCTGTATTTATTTATTTTCATGATGTTGTCTGTGCCTGCAGTCGTCGGTGAGTCCTGATCACAGAAAAGGTTTCAGAGTCGTGTTTCCATCTTCACTTGCTCTTTATATCTCCTGGATTCACCCACATGTAGAAATAAGCGAGCCAAATATACGTTCTGTCTTCGGTTTGCATCCATGTAGGCAGCAAAATGTCAAAATGCATCGATTCATCGGACTGAAATGTGCTCTAAATAGACTAGTTTTTAGATTAGCAGACACTCAAGACAACTTTGGCTTTTTTTTCTCCACAGATTTTTGCATTTGAACCTTTAGAGCAACAACAACTGGTTTGGACTCAAGTAGATGAGGATGATTTTTGCCATTTTGTGTTTTTAAGGAGGCTGAAAATATAAATATAAGCAATGTTTCGTCATTAAATGGATTTTGTTAATCCGCGTGCAGTTTCCTTTTCGAATCATTTTGCTCCACATTGCGCTGCCGTCTCTCCCAGCGCTGCCCTCCATCTGCTGCAGATTAAAACTCTCCCCCCAGGCTCACAATTAGGCAATCAGAGGGCTATCATTCCGCCCCAGTAGGCCCACAAGGTCAGCGGCGGACCAGGAGAGGATACAGAGACGGATGAGACAAAAGCTCACAATGTGGAATGTGCGGTTTGCCGTGCATGTGCAGAAATGTAAAAAAAAATAATAATACAGCATGCACCTGTGGTAAA